CTTTGGAGCGCATTGTAACTGCTTTGGGGCTTGGTTTTGGTGATTGGCAATGGCGACTTGTCACCTTACCTTTTTCTAATGGTGGTTTGGGTGTCTATTCGGTGGGTGATGTTTGGCATTATGCTTTCCCCGCGTCGCGTCTCCAGTCTTCTGGTCTTCAAGCTACCCTTCTTCGCGATTCTGGTATTGTTGGTCCGGGACCAGCCTTTGTTGGTGCCCTAAGTCTTTTTAACAGGACTATGGAGACTGACCTTTTGAGTAACCCTAGTGAGATCGTTGCCCCTAGACTCATGAAAAAATTGGCAGATATATATTTCACTAAGGTCACTACATCTGCGGATTCCACTTTCTCCTTATCTCCGCGTCAGGTTGCCTTATGGAAGTCCCAGCAGGGGGATCACTCCTCGGCCTGGTTGCGGACGGTCCCGATATCGGGTTTGGGACAGACTATTAATGGTAAGACTTACCGTAGTGTTCTTTGCTATCGATTGGGTGTCCTTTGTTCTCCGTTTCAACGCCGTGTTTTGCTTGCTCAAGGGTTTTTGATGGAGATATTTATGGGGATCATGCAGTGTCTTGTGCTGGGATGGTAGGTATTAAGCATCGGCACAACGTTATTCGTGACACCCTTGTTGATATTTGTTTTCGGTCCGGGATTTCTGCTTGAAAGGAGGTTAACGTTGGGTTGACTGGTGGGAACGACGGGGCGCTACGACCAGCAGATGTGTTGCTTTATTCCTGGGATAGAGGTTGTGATGTATGTGTCGACTTGATGAGGTCTTCACCTTTGACACAATCGGGGTTGTCTAACTTCGTTCCTGGTCATGTTGTGTCGGCGGCAGCTCAGCGGAAGCGGGACAAATATGGGGCATGTTGCAGGGCTATTGGATATGGTTTTCTTCCTTTCTCCTTTTCTTCGTTAGGGGAATTAGATAAGGATGCTATAGCATTGCTGAAACGGGTTCAGGCGTTCGCTAAGACGCAGGATATTGGTGCTCGTGCAGCTGCTCACATCTTCAGTAGGATCGGGTTCGCTATAGCTAGAGGGGTGGGGGCCCATATTGTATCTCGGTTCCCTACCAATTTTTTGTAAATTGATTGAATTTGTAGGTTTTAATGTTAATAATAATAATAATAATAATAATAATAATAATAATAATAATAATAATAATAATAATAATAATCATCATCATCTAAGTTTGGAGAACTTTTTTTTTTTGAATAATTGAAAACTTAATTTTAGTTTAGCAAAAATAATTTATTTTTTTTAAATTTAATTTAAGGTTAACGTAAATTAGATGAAGTTAATAAGAAATTAAAATAATACATAAAATAATAAAAAAAATATCCTAGCCTCTCTCTCCTCTTTCCTCTCTCTATAACCCTAGCCTCCAGCGGCGAAGCCAGGAATAAAAATCTATGGGGGCCAAGAAACGATAAAGTTACCCAAAAAAAAGCTCTAAGTGGGGAATCGAACCTGAGACATCTCTCTCACAAAGTCACCATGAAAAACTCCAACAAACCAATTAGGCTATCCCTACGATATATTACGTATATCACTAGTTAGGCCACAGGGGGGCTGGGCCTCCACCAGCCCCCCCCGGTGGCTCCGCCCCTACTAGCCTCCATTGTTAAATTTTGGAGGGGTTTCCATTGGTTTTTATCGGTGGAAAGCCCTAATTGTGTGCTTTTTCTCTTGTTTTAGGTTTAAAATAACTCTTCCTCTTTTATGAGGAACATTGCTCCCTCGAAAGACAAAGTTTTTCTTCTTCTTTAGGAGAATTTGGCTCATTCGAAAGACCTATTTTTTCTTCTCTCTTTTGAGGGAGGATTTGCTTTTTATTTCATGGATTGCTATAGAGTTGTTTCATGGGTAAAATTTTGTGCGGGATTGGAAAAAAGGTTAATATTTCGATTACAATCTACCGAATCATATTGAAATTTTCTGCATGCACGGCTACAACAGATGGATAGACCCCTCACCGAACAAGGTTGTAAATCACAATTATATGAAAGAGGGTATGAATAATGTACGATTTGCAACAACGATCGTAGCTTTGCTTACGGAATATTTTTATTTGATTCAATAATGATGTATTTGTTAGATCTAAATCTCTTTGTAGATGTCGTATGACTTTTATTTATGATTTGATTTTGTTTCAAAAAAAAAAAAAAAAAAAAAAAGAAAAATTAGATGAAGTTGATAGGCCTAAAAGTTCATTTTGCTGGTCATTTTTTTTTGGGTGAAACACACGTCATCAAGTAAAACTCAAAGATAGAGTAATGCTCTATTCTCTTGACCTGATACTTATTGAATTTCAATTCATTTTGTGAAATGAAATAATTTTGTTAGACTTAAATATTTTCTTAAACTAAAATTAAATTATTTTGTTGAACTTAAATTATCACTACTAAACTTAAATTATTTTTTATCATTCACAAATTCTTATATGTGCCTGGCTAAATACACGGTGTAGCCAATCATCATGAGGGTTATTTCGTTAATGTTTGGATAGTCACATGATAAAAAAAAATATATTTATATTTTTTTTTTGAGGAGAAAAATATATTTATATATTACTATGTGTATTTGTTTATAGATTGAGTATACATTTAATATTTTATTTATTTGTTGTTCTTTTCTTTAGGTTGGTGTATAATTTTTCTCTCTCTCTCATTTTTATCAATTATCTTATTATTTTTTTAAGATTTTTTTTTTTTTGTGCAAAAATAAGAAAAGGTTTTGGCGGGGAATTTTTTTAATGCGGACACGATACATGTACTATTGGGATAATTTTGGTGATTACTTTAGTATATAGTATTGATAGATTGATTGAGAGGAATTTTTCAAGGTCATTGTTACAGGGGTTAATTCGTCAGTGTTATAAGGGTTACACAATCAATATTACAGGGGTTACTTTATTTTTGAATAATTAATGACTACATGATGTGGCTAGTCACATATAAGATGAGCGATTCTCTGTCATATATTTATTTTGAACAAATTTATTTTAAAAAAACTAAACTTATTTTTCTTGAAATGTTTTTTTGTTTGGTATTAACTTATTTTTTTTTACAAAAGAGATATTAGTTTTTATTTGAATTTAAATTATTTTCACCGATTGTTATTGTTTTATGATGAATATATGTAGTTGTCACATCTTATTATAATAAAGTTGTATTAAACAGAATTATTAGTGATCTTATATTCTAAAATTTGAATTGTCAACTTGTATGTGTGTATCTATATCTATCTATCTACTAAACACAAACCATCATTCCCATCATACCACATGTAAACTTTATTTTTCACCAATGCCACATGTTACCGCACCTTTTCATTAATTAATTAATTCCCTTTCCCATATTAAAAATAAAAAATAAAAAAGCACTAGCTTTAATTGAATATATGTATGAAAGTTTATTGATTCACTTTTTTCTAACTTAATATCTTATACAACAACATTTAATTATCACTCTTTCATCTTCTTCTATATAAACTATTCTTTTTTCCAATTAAAACATATTATAAATAAAAATTTATACACTTATATACATACTGTGCATTGCATGAGTCAGAAGGTTACTTTTAACAACAATATGATTACAAATTAATTCCATTGATTTCAGTTATTCAACCACAATTATTTAGAGTATGTAGCCCAAAAATACATAGCAATTTTAAAGTTTTTTTCTTTTAACCACAAAATATGTATACTTAAAAGAATTTTTTATGATAGCTGAAGAATAAAAACTCCCTTTGATATTCAATTATATTTACAAAAAAAAAAATGATATTTCTTTTTATAAAGCCATCAATATAATTCGTTTTTTTTAAAAAAAACCACCAATATAATTCACTTTATTTGTTATATATATATTTTTTAATATACAAGCAATGAAGCGAGGCATCGCCCAGACCTAAAACTAGTTTTTATTGAATGCTCATAACACTAAAACAGTTTCACTTCGGCATTATTCATATGTTAACTTTTATTTTATATAATTTTTTCTATTATGTAAAAATCTACTATACTTATGTAATATGTTGTTATTAATTAGTCACAATATATATTTTAAATATTATATTGTCATAACTATTTTTATTTACTCCAAAATGCATAATTGCGTACATTAAAAGCCAAACTTGTGCAGACATATATGTTAGTCAAATTGTTATGACATATATAAGTTTGGAGGGATTAGTTGTTGACAAAAAAATCATTAAAGTTACAATACTATAATTTTGTTTTTTTTTTTTTTTTTTTTTCAATAGAATAAAGTTTCAATACTTTTAGTTAGGCCCTGTTCTTTTGAGCTTTTGGGCAGAGCAGAGCAGATTTCAGTAGAGCAGAGCAGATTGAAGCAGAGCAGAGCAGATTTTATTATTATTAGTATTATTTTTAATCAGAGCAGATTTAAGCAGAGCAGAGCAGATTTAAGCAGAGCAGCTCTAAAGAACATGGCCTTACAATGTGAACACATTCAACACAATATAATAATATATATGGTAAGAAATCATGTTTGATATATGAAAATCAAAAATTTTACAAACAAAATTAGGAAATATATCCAAATGGTTCAACAACAATTCCTATTTCAACTAAAGTATCATTTATTTTAAAAAAAATAATAATTAAAGTACTACTTTTTTTTTTTGAAAGGATAAAGTACTCGTTTTTTTATCGATTAATAAATCATCTTAAACATGAATGTCATTAATTAGTTAGCTTTCATTTATAAATATCTTTATAAAAAACTAGGTTATGTCGCCTCAAAAAATTGCAATTGTTCTAATTGTATATGTTTATAAAACTAGTTTCTTTGGGAAAAAAAAATCAATAATTTACTTTTTACGTGATGTAAGATATGCATGATTAATTAAAATATATCAAAAAGTCAAATAAAGTCGAATCAACGTTAGTTTTAGTTTAGAAGGCATGCTTCTAATTAAGTTTTCCGTACTATAATCATACTAACCCTATGACTTTTACGTCATAACATATGTAGTCTCATGGAGTGATTAAAATCTATTATATATATTGTATTTCAAAATAAATATTATTAACCAATGTGCTAAACCCATCATAAAACTATGACGAAAATTAATTTAATTTAATGCAAATCCCCAATTAAAAAAAAAAAACCTCATCATACAATCTTCTTGCCTATATAAATTGGTCTCCAATTCACATTACAAGAACATCCATCATAAATCATAATTCATTTCTTCATTTTTTTTAAAGAATTCATACCCCCATTTGTCAAACCATTATACTTTCATAAATAAAAAATAAAATCATAAAAGAAAAACCCCCTAAAACATGACTTAAAAAAACAATTAAAAAATTCAGGTGTTAGGAGAGAGAAACGGTCTGAGGGTGTTCTTGTAGGTGTGTTGTGTGTAGATGGCGACGGAGCTCGTCAACCGATCTCCGTTATTCTTTTCAATCTTCGCTCAGGTATTTCTTCTTCGTTTTACTCTTGATTTTTAATTTTTTTTTTGTGAGATTTAATTTGTTGTGTTATTATTTTACTGTTTTAAGATGGATTGATTGATGTGATCATCAAATGGTGATTTTGCAATGCTGTTTTTTAGAACCCATTTTTCAAAATTTCGTTAATTTTTCTGGGTTGTGTTTTGATTGGTAAGAAATTGGTGATTTTTGAGGGAATTGGGTAGTTTTTATGGTATAAAATGTGAAAAAAATGTAAATTTTGACTGATTTTAGCACAATTTCATCCAAAGGAGTTGGTTAGCGTGTTTTCTCATTTTCTTTTTCTTTTAAAAAAATAAATGTACTCTGTATAAATTAATTAGGATGATGAGTATGTATGGTGTACTAATTATTTTGGTGATTTTTTTTTAAATATTAGTAGAAAATAATTATTATTGGAGTATAATTAATTATCATTCCGTATTATTATTGGGAAATTATTATTATTATTATTGGAATATTCTTATTTATTAAAAATAATAATAATAGAGGAAGATGACCATTTACTAATTATTTTTGAGGATTTTTTTATTTTTTAAATTTTTTTATAAATGGGTATGCTTAGATGGAAAATGATAGGAGTATCTTGCTAAAGTAACAGATGATCAAGAAATTAGGTTGGCATTTAAGAGTTGGCACTAAATAATCTATTTTGGGTTAAAATTTCTGTTTTGCCTTAAATCTGCTAACATTTTTGTACTGGCAGTTTTGTTGTTAATTTATCTAATTGAGTTGTATATGTTTAATCTTGTCAAACATGTAGGTGGAGAGAAGTTGAGAAGTGTAATTAGGTGATGTCTGTTGATAGCCTTGTCAAGCAATGGGGTTGTGGAAAACCAGGTGCGAATCATCAGAGAATGGGTTCTATCACTTCTATCGTTTGCGACATAGGGGATCCTTGCCTTCATCATTCGCCTATCAAGGTCATGGTGACCGTAAGACATTTTTTAGGAGTTGTCGTCGCCCCCTCCCCCTTTGCTCATTGAAACCTTTATATTAAAACTTGCACCACACTTAAGTTCCTGAATTAGGGAGTGAGTTCTGTCTTGCGAATCTCGTTAAGCTTTGTTGTTTGTACTATACCATACCACAACTTACCATCAGCATTTCTTTCCAGGATGTTTCTGCCTATGGTATGTTCTAGGATCAGATTTATGTTATCTTACCATATCAATTTAAAGTATATGTTCCATCATTGGACGATTATCCTTGACTTGCTACATTTTATTACGATTTGTATTTATTAACTGTAAGTTACATACCATCCATATCTCTTTCCGTGGATTTCATGTGGCTACCTGGCTCTTACTTCATAACAAGCACGATTTTATAGTGGATTTATGCTTCTATGGATGGATAGCTTATGGGATTTGCCTTTGGAGAAGCATGATAGAATATATTAAAATTTAGTTCTGTAGCTGTCTTAAATTCTTTTTCTAGGTGTGTTCTATTAGTTTTCAAAATGGTTGTAGTTCTAGTTTCTTCCTTATTGGTTTTCTAGTCCTCCCCCTTCCCCCCTTTTGTTTATTGTTTGTTCCTGTTTAATAAAGCGGGTTTTCTTGTAAGACAGCCCATAGCCCCATACTCTCTGATTGGCCCATACTTTGAATCTGTTAATTCATCTATTTTGTAGTCATGGTAACCTGAAAGAAAAACATAAATTTCTGGATGAACTTGATCTTGATGCCAGTAGAAAGGCATGCATAGAATCATGGTCGGAGAGTGATGAAGAAATAGATTGGGATCACTATTTCAATCTGTTCAGATTAGTAGTTTGATCTATGTTTTGCTAATACATTGAGGTAAGAGATAAAGGGATTGTGGTAGGGTAAAATGTTGTAAACATCATGGCAAGTTATGATGATTACAAACACTTCATTCAAATGATCTTGTAAGCGATATCATACCGTACTTCCAGCCCAATCTAGTGACACTCCCCTACCCCACCCCCAGGCGGATGTGCATATAGGTTGCGCAGATCTAGACTACCCTAGACCCCTTCCATTGATAAAATTAATAGTAGGCTATTGTTAATATTTGTGTGCTTGGTGATTGACCCTACGGAAGCTGATGTCCACATTTTTATCATGTACTTGCTTGTCTAGTTGGGTAGGCTTGGTTTTCTCTCTCTCTCTCTCTCTCTTTGCATTGACAAAGAAAGAGGACACTGTGATTTTCCTACCATGTATATTCTGTATAAATTATTTTAAATGATTATTTGATATTTCTAGCTTACGCGGGGATGGATGAGAAATATGTATATATATTTTAGTCCTGGTCGATTATATATGCATCACAATTGAAATTCTTTTAGCTTTCCTGAAATTGTGGATTTATTGCTGGTTGATTTGATGGTACTCTTATAACTGAAATATGAAGATGCTCACTCTTTCTGTTTTTCTGACATTGCAGGTAAACAAAATGCTGAAGCCTGATAAGTGGCAGGCAGTTTTTGATAGCGAAGGCAAGGCTCTAGGTTTTCAAAAAGCTTTGAAGTTGATTATCTTAGGGGTGGGTTTTACTACTACTTTAAGTTTTCCATACTTTTGAGAAGATTCATTCAGCATGTCAATTTATTATAATATATATTTATATCCCACTTACTGTTATGATCCGTAGATTATTGATTTCTTTAATTATTCATCATATTTTTAAGCATTTAATGTGCAAATCCACAAATATTCCAATATTCTTACATCCTCGAATTTTGCTTCTTATTATGGAAAGACTGGCTTTTAGATGGATACATGTATGGATGTTTTCAATGATATGTACTCTATTTATTATTCGTTAACTATAGTCTAAATTTTTACTAGTACACAGGTTCTCAATAAATGTAGGTGACAAAAAGCTCTTTATTTATGTTGGCAATTTAGGACATCTGCGTAATTGACGTATTTTTTAAGTGGACATTGAACAACACATACTAATATAAAATAGGGACAAAATTTTAGGAATGTTAGATGTTATAGTAATTGTTAGTAATCATTTTAGCGCTTCTTCACATTATGGTGCTGTCATCAGGGAAAGTCTTGGTGACCACACCGCCAAGTTATGGATGAAGTCATAGCATTCAATTACTTCTCTCGTTGCTTTTAATCTACTGACGTATTATTCTATATCATAATCTGGACCTTATTAGGGAGACATATCTTGGGGCCTGTGGTCTACAAAAAAATGATTACAAATCTTAATCTGTGAAACATAACTTTAGTAGCACACAACAGCTTTCAACCTTTTCAGTCTGTATTGAACACCCTTTATCTAATTTTTGTAATTTTCTAACGCTTTGTCACTAGCTTTATGAGCTTGCTTGCTACCAACAAAGACAAATTTTGCTCACATTATATCGACTTTGAAAAATATTGCTCTTTTATTTGACGTCTTGCTCTTGCATATCAGCTTCTGAAAGAGAGGTCTTCATGAGATGAGTAGCTATCACTCAGCAATCAATAACTCAATAATCCATTACTGTAAAGTCAGCCTACAAATTTGGTCCCCTCTCATCAATTTTAATTCTACTATTCAGCATAATCATTTTGTCACTAATCTTCACTGTTTTTATTTGCTAAGTGTTCGTCTTGAGCAAAGTTTCTGTACTCTGTCCGGGACAATTATTATAATTGTGTTTTCGTCTTTTCTTAATGTAAATTTCCAATTATATGGTTAACGTGTTGGCTTTCATTATAGGGCGTGGATCCATCTATAAGGTCAGAAGTATGGGAATTTCTTCTCGGCTGTTATGCACTGGGCAGTACCAGAGAGTACCGTAATCTGCTGAGAGCAGCCAGAAGGTGCATTACTTTTCACCTTTACTAGCATTCAAATTTTCTTTTAATGATTATTGCTCGCCTTTTTTTTTTTTTTGCCTAAGCTAGGTGATTTTAGTTAGGTGCAGCTTGAGGTGCACAACTTTTGTTTTGTTGTATTTTTTTCCCCCAATTTTTTTTATTAAGTCCACCTCACCATATACATCAATCTCAATGAGATTTCAATGAGGCGCACTGAAGCATGCCTAAGGAGTTCAAAAATTTCCATCACCTTGGTGCGCCTTGGATGCAAACATTGGTTATTTGGTCATTCGAACTAAGACATTGCATGTGCCTATTGAACCATGAGTAGTCAGTCAGTGATTGAAATGTCATTGAAATTGATGTATATGGTAGGGTAACTGGGGCTTACTAGGTACATTATTGCATAAATGATATGTGCGATGATGAGGATGCAAGTTTATGCTCTCCTTTTTCCCTTATTTATTTATTTTTTTAAAATGTGAAGGGCGTGTTTCTCAAATTTATTGGTTGGACTTTGGATAGTGAAGTAAATGTTTAGACCAATATTCGGTATATTGTTAAGGAGCTCTTTTGACTGCTTACTGAGTTACTTGCATAGGAAAAATAACTCTTGCTTGCTTTGGTTCCTTTTATCTGTCATGCAGGGAGCGATATGAAGAACTTGTAAGACAATGTCAAAAAATGCATTCAAGCATAGGAACGGGCTCACTTGCTTATGTTGTTGGCTCGAAAATTATGGATGTGAGGGCATATTCTAAAGATGATGTGAAAAGAGAAGCTGATTCTGAAGAAAGACATGCTTCCGGAGATGATACTAACAAACTTAACGCTTACTGTGATAGGAATAATAACTGTACAGATACAACATATACATGCCAAAGGGCAAGCTCTAGCGATTCTTCTGATGTTGCCAGTGTGAGAGAAAGCATTGATAGTGCTGCTTATGATTCATCTTGCCTTGTTCCCAGTCCTGTAAAATTCAATTGCAGTTCCTTGAGACCTAGGAGGCAAGCTAATGAATCTCAATTTCCAGTTGATGAATATTATGATTTTCCTGCCTTACCGGTCACAGATTTATTTGAGAAAAGTGATGAAAGTGATCAAGCAAATGAATCACATGATGATGGACATTCTACACCATGGAAAAGAGTTGGCAATCAAAGCATGCACAGTTTTCAGATTGATAATAATGATGAATTAGTTATTGAATCAAATGGCTCACGATCTAGTGTTCGACAGTCTATCAGTTCCGAAATTGAGATGGCTGATGGCCGCTGTGATACTCCTCACGAGCAAGTGTTGAGACAGGATATTCAAAAGTACAAAAATAAAGTACTGAACAAATTGAGGATATCTGATGTGCCAGAAACAGCAGAGCTTTATTCGAGCAAATGCGAAGAAGCTGAACCTAGTGAAGATAAAGTATCTGAATGGCTCTGGACTCTGCATAGAATAGGTAATGGATTTTTTTTTTTTTTTTGCTAAATTTTCTTTTTCACTCTTTCTTTAAAGTGCTCATTCATGCTTTCTTAATGTGCTTTAATCACTGGAGCATGTTTGTTGACAGTGGTAGATGTGGTTAGAACTGATAGTCATCTTGAGTTCTACGAGGATCCAAAAAATTTGGCCAGGATGTCCGACATTCTTGCTGTTTACGCATGGGTTGATCCTGAGACAGGATACTGCCAAGGTTAAGGGCTTTTCTCAGTATTTGTGCTGATGCTCATTTTTCTGACCTTTCGTTGAGAAATGTAAAGATGTTTTATGGTTCATATTTTTATAAAAAGATGTTTGATGTTTTGATGTACGTTGTTGGTACAGGAATGAGTGATTTACTGTCTCCATTTGTCGTTCTTTTTGAAAATGACGCGGATGCATTTTGGTGCTTTGAGATGCTTCTTCGACGAACGGTCTGACTTTTTTCTTTGTTCTCATTTGGATAATAAATTGGCTTGTATTTTGTCTAATCTGTGTTTACTGTATGGCTCTACCTATTCAGAGAGAAAATTTTCGAATGGAAGGACAAACTGGAGTAATGAAGCAGTTGCAAACACTTTGGCAAATCTTAAAACTGACTGACAGAGAAATGTTCTCACACTTAACTCACATAGGTGCAGAAAGCCTTCATTTTGCCTTCCGTATGCTGCTGGTGCTTTTCCGAAGAGAATTATCTTTTACTGAAGCCCTTTGTATGTGGGAGGTTTGTTCTCTTAATTTCCTGGACTCTTGCTGCTACAAATTTTTTTTTATCCATGAAATTAAGAATTTCCAGGAGACTCAAGTTGTAAAAAATATTATAAAGTTGATGTTTTAAGTTTATTTCCTAGTATCTGAGAACAAATGGTAGTTTTTAACTATTAATGTCAGAAATTTCTCTCTCAGCTGAACCGAATGACTCCAATTTCACTCATTAATGCAGATAATTTGAAGTTAATAAGATGACCTCAAGCATGTATTTATGCTGTCAATGAATGATCTTAGCCATAATGCTAAGTTGGTTGATGATAGTTGATTTGGTTGCTGTGTGTTGGTTTTTATTGTTGAATTAGTAATTGTTCAAAATAATAGATCAAAGAGCTTTATATGCTAATACCTGTGCATATGAAATAACTCAATAAATGTCAATTTAAGTATCTCCCCCTAGTATTGTATGATTTATCATTGACAGGAGCTGAGTCATTGTGGCTTAAACTGTTTTCTGCAGTCCAATAAGTAAGAAATTTAGCTATTGCTACTAAGAGTCAGGATTTTAAGACTATAAGACATTAAGACTGTCATAAATTATTTTAAACTGCAATGATAGGTACTATGGGAAAGGGATACTCCTTACAAAATGTGGCAACCTTCGATTTTTCAAGTCTTGGGATGGGCTAAGAATGTCAAGTGATGATAGGAGATCCATTCTGAAGTCATAATGTTATTCACTTATTTGGAGCCAAATATAACCATTGCCTAATCACATAATGTCCCATGGTGGCCTTGAGTTAATGAAAAGAGCCCTGTACATAACCAGCTAAATTGACTAAACTTTAAAGGGAAAGTGCACGGTTCTAACTACCCAAGTGGTTTCCTAGGAGTCTCATGGGGTCCATGGGAAGCACTTTGACTGCAGAATCTGTTACTTATCGTTGACAGAGTGTGGCTTGAACTGCAGTGATTTGCTTCCAGAGTGTGCTATTGCCCGTAGACTGTCATGGAAGTTAAGGGATAGAAAGACTGACCTCTAGCATATGCAATCAATTCTTTAACATGTGTTTACCCTTTTAATTTAACTTTTTAATCTTTCACGTACATTTATATATTTTTTTATACTCTTTGATTTTCTAAAGCTAGAAGCTCTATTTTGCATGTTTCCTTGTCATTTTGAAATTGACCATTCATGCAGATGATGTGGGCTGCTGATTTTGATGAACCTCTTTCTTGGAATCTTGCTCAAAACTGTCTTGAACCATTGGTGCTGCAACTGCCGGATGATGTGGGCACTGAGAGCGGAGAGGAAAGGAAAGAAACGGACGATAGCAGTTCAAAGTCTGGCCCACTTGCAAAAAATGAAAATAGTGAACATGCCAGTTCTGAGGAGGCAGCGATGAAGTCCTTAGCATCTAATCATTCCTTTTGTGGCTTAACTAGGACCTTCTGGTCTCGGAGTGATCGCACGCATGAACGCACTGGGTTCTCTGCAACAAGGAATGGGGAAGATGACCTACCTGTGTTTTGTGTGGCAGCAATTTTAATTTTAAACCGTCACAAAGTCATCAAAGAAACTCGTTCAATAGATGATCTAATCAAGGTAACTGATCTTACCTGCTCTTTTCTCTGCAATGTGGCTTTTGCTATATATTTGTTCATGCCTGTTACATTTTAAGTCTCAGATCTTAAAATTTGTTATGCTCAGTGCTCACTATTGAACGAGTAACTATAGTTTGATTTTCTTTTCCCTTGAACTAAAATTTTGAATAGCAAAGCTGTGCTGTGATTAAGCCACTAAAATTTGAGTTTTTGACCCTCAAAAAGTCATTTTAAGACCCTTCCTTTAAGGAGTTTCTTTTTGTGATTTTTGATATGAATATAAAGTAGTATAAAGTGAGAAATGGACTAAAAATACCATTGCTCACTATATGAGCGTTATTTTTAGAAGACAGGGGTCACTTAAATTATATCATCAGTTCTGTCAAAGGGGTCTTTGCTTTATTGTATCTTCTATCTTAGCCTTTAATGTTGCACTCTGCTTAAGCAGGGTATGTGTTTGTTATTATTATTTTATTTATTGTCTTTAAAAATAAAGTGATATCAGTCTATGCTTATAAATATTATTTGGCAGATTTGTAATGATAATGTGCTGAAGATAAGAGTCAAAAGATGCATACGGACAGCAATCAAGCTCCGGAAAAAATATTTCTACAAGGTGCTTTTTCATCTTAGCTACCCTCGAGTGTTTCATGTTAAATTTATGTGCCATCTTCTCCTCATAAGGCATTTGTTCTTTATTCAGAAGAATTAATGATGTTAGCTGATCCAATTGGATGCAAAGCTAAATTCTCTGGCCTGCTCTGACATATTATTATATTAATAGCGAAAAAACTCAAAAAAAATAGGGAAATTCTCTTTGGTAAACCTATAGTTTTTAAAATTCTCAGTGGTGAATTACAAAAAAACTTATTATCATTGGTAAACTCGAATTTTTGTTTACCAAAGATAATAGCTTTTTTAATATAAACTCACTAACCATGGTTAATTCTATTTTTAATAATTAAATTATTTTTTTAAAAAAAACACAACCTCTCCTCTGCCAAGACCACCACCAACGCCACCTCCGACCTCTTTCTACTCTTCTGGCCGAGAACTATTCTCCCACCGGCCACCGCAACCACAACCCTTCTCTCTTTCTCCTCCTTCCACCGCAACCTCCGTCTCCTCCGCGGCTCCGACCAGATCGAGCCCGAACACTAGTGGAAAAACCCCCAAGAAATCCCCAGCAATGCCTTACTTCTGTTTGAACCCAAAACACCAGTGAATGCAACAGCCATACCTCAAGAAATTCGACCCCAAAACCTAGAAATTCAACCACTAATCGTAAACCCTAGAAAATCCGAGCCAAAACCTCCTATATTCGAGCAAATTCGAGCCATAACCCCCTATTTTCGAACAAAAAATCGACCCATAACCCTAACAAAATATGAAGTACAAAAACCGCAGAAGATTGAGCAAAATTACCCTTAAATTCGAGCATATAACAACTAAAAATTCAAAGATCTAAGCAAGGAGGTTGGATTTTCATTCAAATCAGTAGCAATAAGCAATTGTTTCGATTATTTGAAAGTTAGGGTTTGTAGTCGAATTTAGGAGCTTCTCTTCGTTATTCTGGGGTTTTCAGGGTAAGAGAGGTGGGTTTTGAGGAAGCTAAGGGAGGTGGTGATTCAAGGGACGGGGATAAGCGCGGTAGGGACGGTGGAGAAGGTTGGCGCGCCGGCAAAGGAGGGAGTTGTGCGCCGGCGTGGGTAGGGGCGGGGGAGTGGGTGCCGGTACCGGCGCCGGCGTGGTGGGATACTGGCCTGGGAGGGGTGATTTTTTTTAAAAAAGAAATTATTTTTAAAAGCATTAAAATAAATAAATAAAACTAACTATAGTTAAATATTTAGTTAAAATTAGTCACTAATGTTATAATTAGCTTAATATAAAAAATTCGAGTTTACCAATGATAATAAGTTTTTTTGTAATTCACCATTGAGAATTTTAAAAAATACAAGTTTACCAAAGAGAATTTCCCAAAAAAATATTGTGGATCTATGTAGGAGTATAATTTGGGCACAAATTTGTTGGAGAAAACCTAAAATGACTCTAGATAAGTCACTTATTAGTTATCACGGGCATTTCTGGGCTGATGAGAATTCTTCCTTCATGCTCCCTCCAGACTTAGAAAATATAGTATGCTTAGCAGACTTTTATAGAACCGTCTTCTTTTAAAAAAGTGAGCCAGAATAAATCTTACTCTTACAATCATCAGGGTATGTGGAGGTCCAGATGTACCTCACCTAGGTACAGGGCCTCAATATCTTGGAGGCCCGAAATGGCTCAATGTTCAATGACATAGTAGTAGATCATGCTGCACACTTATACTGTAATGGATTCATGGGAGATAGAGCTATTCTCATTAATAATCCTCTCATTTCCGTAAATCATTCTATCTTCCATCTTACTTTTCCATTTGCAACCTTTCATTTTCTTAATTTTCACATTATGTTTTCCCATTAATTTATAATTACAGAAAGACTTCATGATACATTACTTTTATCCTCGTCTTTCCCTCCGAGTCTTCAACAATTTCTTTCAATCAGTATTTTGTAGCAGACCATTTTTTATTTATTTATTTTCTTTTTTTTTTATTTGTTTATTATGTGTGATAAAATTTACTTGTTTGACTCTGTCAATTCAAACCATATATTTGGTGTAGGGATACTTGGTGTTGCAAAAATCAATTATTCATTCTTGGTTATGTTGAAGGATTAATTATGTCTCAACTGTACCCATTGTGTGTCACAATGTTTGATTAATATTATTTTTCTATATGTTTCTTGTCTTCAACAGATGATAAAGTATAGTAATCCATCGCCTCAGAAAGACCCTCCAAATTAATCTAGTGATGCGCATTCACCTAGGATGGCTGAGCCATTGCGTTTGATCCTTGCTGCTTGATCGTGCAAAGCTTCTTGTAGATCTTCATTTGATTCTTTTGTGCTGTAGTTTTGAGGTCTTTGTATTTTGTATTGGCTCATCCTGTGAAGTTTATTGCAACGAATTCTGCCTTTCTGATGAGGTACGTGGTTTTCCTTTTACCTTCTGTTTCTTTTTAAGAATTCATAACTTTCTGTTAGGCAAGTCTGGGATGTGTGGCTCAAAATTATTGCTGTTCAAGTGTTAATTGTTTGCTTTCTTGCACAAATTCCAGCTAAATGATGAAATTTCCCAGCTGTATAAAGCGGACATGGGGCTAGATTGGGTGAAGCTTTGTATCTTAATACTTTGGCTACCAGTAAAGGGTTAAACTTAAGCTATTGATCAGTCAAAGCATTTTCCTACCTTCAAACTAACCAGCTTTGGCCCATCCGTTGACTCTTCTTTTGAACTTCTGTTGAACTTTTTTTGGCAAAGAAAATGCTGTTTCCTCCACTCTTTCTTCATTTGCGGGATTTGCTCTCCTCTCATCCAAGTGGTTGATTACTGACCTAAAAGAGAGGTTTGCATTAGGTAGTTGATCTAGATTCTAGCTAAGGCAATTTTTTATATAAGCGACCCACCAAGCAACTATGGTCTTGGTAGGCGCTTTCTCTGGTTCATCTAATGAGAATTGAGGCTAACAAGGTTGCTCTTGTCACGAACCTGGTGGTTAATTGTTCACCATCCTAATTGGTATCTAATGCATTAGATAGTTTATTCTATTGATGTGAATGAATTGTGTCGGTAATAGTTCCAGTTAGTTGCTCTTTTTTTTTTTTTTTTTTTTTTTTTTTTTTTTTTTTTGGGTATGAAGACTATTAACTACCCGGTGATATATGGCTTGATCTTATTCTGATTATTATCGCGAATTTGTATGTAACAGTTGATGGAAGGAAGACTTTCAAGGTGTACACAGATGGATCACAGATGATGTGGCTCTAAGAGTTTGATCTACATGTCACTCTATCAGGAGGGAAAATAAAATTTGATAGCACAGTTTTGTAGTGGGTACACCCCAATTCTTTGACACAGAATATATCAAAAATCAATATAATGTTGTTTAAGTTAGTTGTTGTTCCTTACTTTCAATGCACAAATAGGTGGTTTTACACCTTAATATGTGAACAAAATTGACTTTAGAAAGTTTTAAAGGAAAGTAGATTAATCATTTAATCTCTATATGAGCTAAATTTTAAAGATATGCCTTTTTGTTTTAAAGTCCTTTATTTTGGTAACGACAATATTTTTTCTGAAGTCTTTTGCTACCAGACCTACCACCGTTCAAAACTTTAATCAACTCAACGAATTGATATCTATAAGATTTTTGAAGTCTCCAACTTGTCATGTTGAGTAGAAATTGCTGTCCATATTCACGGAATCAAGAGTGGTAGAGGGTGTGCATAACCTTCAAAGCTTTTGATATAGGGATAAATAATGACACCAAAATTTGGAGAATTCTAGGAACATTTATACATTGATTATTAGAATTAGATTAGATACGTAATAATAAATGATGTTAAATTAGAACGTGTGTAAGTCCGTTTCTTAAAGCTCTAACTTGAAAAATTCACACCTACTTAATCAAAGAAAATTCTTCAATTCCCCCTTAGTTTTACAATTGAATCAACCTGATGACACCCACCTCCCTCATTTTGTTTCTTAGTATACCTTCACTCATATGCAAAATGAGTCAACTTTTGTAGTAAGCCCCATTTTGATATATTGAAGCTAAGTTTGACAATGATTTTGAGTGTTGTAGAACTGTTGATTAAGCTTGAACGAGCTTTGAAATCTCATGTTTGTGCTTTGTTGATTTATTTTATTTGTTCACAATTGAACTTGAATATCAAGTTTTTCCTAGACCTTCCTCATTTCTCAAAAGACGTGTCTCGAAGTATTTTTACAATATCAACTTCAACTTTATATAACGATTGATGTACAAAGTATTTAAAATTTAAAGGAAAAATTGTCAGGAACTACATGTTAAATAGGGGTATTTGGAAACAACTACCCACTAAAAAAATTTATCAAAAAAACTACCCTCTAAATTTAAAAAGTTAGAGTAGCACTACCTATTTGCATTTTCCGACGAGAAAGTCTGGCGTGTGAGGCCCACTTTTTTCAATTTTTCTTCTGAAAATTCCTAATTGAACAAGTGAAAACAAGTAGGGTATGCAATTCATAGGTAATTATTCTCTTTTAATCCATTAATTATGAATTTTGATGTTAGGGTGTAACGATTAGAAAAATTAGGGTTCTTAGAAATTGGGGATAATTTAAAATTGGTTGAATTTATTGCTTTTAATTCAAATTGCTTATCTTAGGGTTACGATTTAAGGTCCAATTTGTCATTGCATCGTGTATTTTCAAAGAAAAATTGAAAAAGTAGGCCCATGCGACGGACATTCTCGCCGGAAAATGCAAATGGGTAGTGCTACTCTAACTTTTTAAATTTAGGGGTAGTTTTTTCGATAAAATTTTTTAGTGGGTAGTTGTTTCCAAATACCCCTATTAAGCATGTAGTTCTTGACAAATTTTCCAAATTTAAATTATGCTTTGGAAATCATAAATCCCCTATATTGCAATTATTAAAGAGGTGGATCATCCAAAGTAGGGTCTGTTCACATTTAGTGAACTGAGCTGAACTGAACTGAAATGAACTGATTGGAGCTGAACTGAACTGAACTGAATTGAGCTGAAATGAATATTTTATGAGAGAGGGAAATTAAGAGCTGAACTGAACTGAACTGAACTGATTGGAGCTGAACTGAACTGAACTGATTGGAGCTGAACTGAACTGAACTAAACTAAACTGATTGGAGCTGAACTGAACTGAACTGAAATTAAGTAAATGTGAACAGCTCCGTATTATAGAGTTCTATGGATGCAAAAAATTTCATGAAAGCAACAACAATTCTCATTAACTCATCCCTACCCTAACTAACATAGACTAAGAGTTCAAAATAAATTAACCTTTAAACAAGGTAGTTTTTTGAATTAATCAAGTTGTAGGGATATTTATAATGGCCATAAAAAATGGAAATCTAGCAAATTACTTCGTATTAAATTGATATTGTAACAAATGAGTGATGAAAACTAGTGTCGTATTATTTTGGAATGATGGAGCTGGGCTGAATTAAATTGAACCTAAGGACCTGTTCTGATTGATTGAACTGAACTGACCTGAACTGAATTGAGCTGAACTGAACTGAACTGAACTAGACTGAACTGAATTGAACTTATTAATTAGTGATTTTTAACTACAGATTAGTGATCTTTGATTATTTATTACTATACATATGTGTATATACAAATGTACATATTAAAATATTTACGAAAAATATACTATATAATTATAAAATTTATGGAAAATATATTAAAAACTTGAAACCTCTAAACATTTTAAACACATACTATTTAATTTAAAAATAAAATAGTATTATGACAAAAGAACACAAAATACTTACATGTATCTAACCCATTTAAACAATTTTTTTAAAAAAATATTAAAAAAAAAAAGAAAAGAAAAAAACACGAAAAGCTGAGGCAACGGCCCAAAAGTCCAACACCCTAACCCACTCTCTTTAATGTTTTAATTAATACGGAGTATATGTATCTAACTAGTATCTAACCCCAAATTATTATTGTTGTTGTTGTTGTTGTTGTCGTCGTCGTCGTTATAATAAGAGTTTAAAAGAATGAAATTTGGCTTTATATCATTAGCAATATTATTAGACATAAATTAAGAGTTGAATTGAACTGAACTGAACTGAACTGAACTGAACTGAACTGAACTGAACTGAGCTGAACGGAACTGAACTGAACTGAACTGAACTGAACTGAACTGAGCTGAACTGAACTGAACTGAATAGAATTTCAACGGAAGAGAACAGGCCCTAAGTTTGCTAATATTAACGAAACGTTGTTCAAGTTTGGCTCATTTCAAAGAAAATTCTATATCTCTCGTTCGGGCAGGCTCATTTACTTAATAAACAAGCTTTGAGTAAGGAATAGTTTGCTAATGCAGTGTCCATTTGCAACACAATTGGACGCAAGGATTATTAGTTTTGTTTAATCACAGGTAGATTTGTTATTGCTAAGTATGCATGGACACACCATCCAACATGCATATGGTGCGTGTGACTCATATTGGACACATATACGCCTAAGAGTCTAGGACAAGTGAACATGTGTGTTGGACACTTTAAACTCTAAAAATCAAACGTCTAATTTAATTTCTATATATCGGTTAAACAAAAAAGGATTAGTACAGTACATGTCACGCTACACATTTTGAACCCTATAAGACATATGTTCATTGTTTCGGCTTTTTTCAAGTTTTACATGTTCATATCCGTTTCGGACCTTTTGGTGCACAACTTAGATATATTAGTCCTCGTTACCTTATTAGACTCCCCCTATTCAGCCGTTTCATTTGGTTGTACTACGTGTTTATGTAAACTGGGATCACTCCTTTACAAAAATACACTTATATGCAAATGCATGTACACTTTCCTCCACTTCTCTTGTCATTTGATGAAAGACTCAATTCCATTTACAATTTTCCTCTCGTAATTCTCTTCAGGTTCGTACAATCTTAATTACCCAGATTCTAATTTTTTATTATGTTATATATTAGTACTAATTTCTTGTATGTTTTCCAAATATGAAATGTTTTGCATAATACCCATTAAATTAGATGTGTAATGCCATAATTTCATGATTTTTTTGGGAATAAAGACTCCATTTTTCCCGTGAATTTGTTTGTAATTCTTACTCGATGACATTCTTAAAATTGTAATCTTTTTTATGTAATGGGTGATTAAGGGATTTTTTTAGTATTTTGATGAAATTTTTAATATCAAATTTGTGTTGTATATTTGTTAATATAATGTTGTGTTACCCTATATTCATTACTTGATTTACATGAGTATATGTATTTGAATTGATGAGATAATTATGTAAGAAAATTTTGATCATCAGCTTTTGATAAGGTGTAATACTGTAATTGTAATCTTTTATGTACAGAATTATTGATGAATCTGCTTAATGCGTTCTTCAGATGTGATGATTTCAGGCAAAATTCTGTTTTCGAGGTTGAACTTTGATTAGTCTAATGAAATTGTTCTGTGCTTTTTGCAGGGTCATACTGTTAAAAGAATAAGATTTTCAATCTGTTGGTTACCTTGGATCATTTCAGGGTTAAAAGATGGTAAATGTGTTAATTGATCTCTTTATTGGGTATATAAACAAATTGATGCTACTCGTTTTAAGCATGTTTCGTGTCCTGATAGTGAGATGTCACAGTTTGCGTTAGGCCTTATCGCCTTTGTTGTAGACTTGTAGTATTTGGTAGACTGATATAATCAAAGGAAACAAGAACACCTTACTTTGTTCCTGGAAGAATTTGTATTTCTGTTGTTCATTGTGGGACGAATATAGTTTGTTAGAGAGAAGTATTGTATTATTTGTGGTTAATAAAATTAAGCATTATGCTTACTGAACTGTTTTCCCCTAAGTGACTACATCCTATTTATGGAGGAGGCGGTAGGCAGGTAGCTTTTTCCTGTAGTCACCTGTCGTTCTGCTAGGAATCAAAACTGCGTAGAAATGCTATTTCATACATCTCTTTCGATGAAAGTAATAATCCTTTTTGTGCACTGATGATCTTCACCTTCCTACTGCAGGTTGTCCTTGCAGCTTCCATTACAAGTAAATCTGGAAAAGGTACGTTGTTTATATATACCGATCATGTAAAGAAATATGAATAACTTCCTGTTATCGAAGGGTTATGGCCATATGAGCCTGAGGCCATTGGACCACCCTTGCCTTGTGTTGATGTAGGAGCTCCTATAGATGCCTGAGACTGTTGGTGTTGGGGTGTGTGTGTGTGTGCGTGTATTTTCCATCTAACCTCATAAAATCTATCTTAAATGACATATATCCAAATTCCTTTTTGAGATTATACCTTTTACAACCTTTTTTGTTGGTTTTTCTCAGCACTTTTATCAAGACAGTCTGTAAACATAAGTCGGATAAGAGTTGAAGGACTCCTGGCAGCTTTCCCAAAATTGATTGGAATGGGAAAGCAGCACACCTACGTTGAGACTGATGATGTTCGCTATGTCTATCAGCCAATAGAAACCATTTATTTGATTCTCTTGACAAGTAAACAGAGCAACATATTAGAAGATTTGGAGACTTTGAGAATGCTTTCAAAGCTCGTATCCTTTTGTTCTCTTTGTTAATGAATTCATTAGAATCTGTATATAACAGTTTCATGTATTTCATTTTATTTTATTTATCTAGAAGACCTTACACTTTAGCTGCACTCTTTCTTTTTGTTGGGGGGGGGGGGTGATGGGGATTAGAATAACTCGCTCACAGATTACTGCAAATGCATGACTAGTTTGTTAAATCCTTATACCGCATCTAGGTACCTGAATATGCATTTTCATTAAACGAAGAAGGGATTTGCAAGATGGCTTTTGAGCTAATTTTTGCATTCGATGAAGTCATATCATTGGGGCACAGAGAAAATGTCACTGTCACACAGGTTAAGCAATTCTGTGAGATGGAAAGTGAGGAAGAGAAATTGCACAAAATAGTGTTGCAGAACAAAATCAAAGAAACAAAAGAAATCATGAAGCGCAAAGCAATTGACATCGATAAGAGCAAGGTATGTTGCCTGGGAGAGAAGCTCCACCTGATTTTTTTTTCTTTCCCTGTTACTTTTTCCCAGTTTTGTGCTGTAATGTGCTTGTGTTTGCCAAATGTCTCTGTATCCAAGTAACTCTTATACAGTACTCTGCAGGCTGAGAGTAATAGAGGTGGGAACGGAAGTTTTATGTCTCTACAATCAATGGGTTCTGTATTAATCGAACGTTCTTTGGATGATCTCAGCATATCAAGTAGCAACAGTGGATCTGGAAATGCCTCTGGGCTTTCAGCATTTGGATCGAGTACTGATCTGTACTCCTACTCCAACCAGCCCAAAGGTTTGTATTGCGTGATTCCTCATCTGCTTCATTTGTTTTGAGATCCATCTGCAGGTGACAGGATAAATTTTCCTTTGTGATCATTCTAATCATATGGTTTGAATCAGAGTTGCCAGAATTTGCACACCACAGAGCAAACTCAAAATTGGGCCATTCCTCTCGAAACATTGGCAAAGCTGTAATTAGCATTAAATCAGTCATATCTAGCTTGTTCTTCACTAATCATCCTTCTTCCCTTTATACATCATTTTAGTCCATAATCTCTTTGTGTTGATGCTTAAATCTATGTAATTGTTAATTCATAGTAATATGGATAACATAAATTTGTGCATATCACTTAACTTGTTTGTCCTGGATAAGCTTTTTTTTCAAACCATTATCTGGAACTTTTTATGTATACATAAGCCTTTTATCTCTTTTTCATACTTTTTAACCATCTGGTAACATTGAAATGCAGCTCCTACTGCTACATTTAAGGGTCAAGGAATGAAGCTTGGGAAAAACCAAAGAACAAATCTGTTCTTGCAGTCCTTGAAAGCCGAAGGTGAAGAAATAATTGAGGACTTGCAGCCAAGTTTGATTAAATCTAGGGCCGTTGTTCCACCACCCTCTGATCCAGTTACCCTAGTTGTTGAGGAGAAGCTTTTTGTGAAACTCAAAAGAGATGGTGGGCTTGCTAACTTTGATGTTCAAGGGACTTTGTCACTTCAAATTCTTGAGGAGAAAGATGCGTATCTCCATGTTCAGGTGCTCACTTCTTCACTATTATACACTTCATGGTCAGAGGAAACCTGCTATATTGCCTCTCGATATCTAATTCATACTTCGTAATTGCTCTTTCAAGTTTATATGGCGAAAGTAACCATTATCTGATAAATGTCAATGAATAAAGGGGTTACTAAGACTGTCAGTTTATCGGTTAAGTGTTATAAGATGAACAATGACAGAGACTAAATATCTACTTGAAATGCTATAAGAACACTTGCTACTGCATGTCAATGGACCTTATTAATGGTTAGATTGCATGTAAGTATACTACTTTTTGAAGGTTCCGCTTCTACATCAGCTTTCTTATCCAACTAGAGAACAAGAAATTGTCATTTGATTTTTTTTTTTTTTTTTTTTGACCAAGGACACTGCTAGGAAGAGTAAGAAAGATTTTCATCTTAAAGATTGGCTACATATTGACTGATAGAAAGACACTGTTACTGTTGTAATATCCAACCTTGCATTGGAACTTGCTTGTAGTTGGTTGGATGAAGCGAAATCTAAATTGTTTTTTTTTTCCCTATTTTTTCCTTTAATACTGGAATTAGTTCTTCACATCCATACTTTAAAGTTAAGCAATCTTTAGCAAAGGCTATATCAGTCATCGTTCCTATGCAATTTTCCATTCTTTCCCTTTCTTGAAGTTAGCTGGCTGCAAATATGAGAGCAAGGAAGGAAAATATGTAATTGTTGTGACTTAATTACTTTCTGATCTGATGATCATTTATTGAAGCTCTATGATCATTAACTTAATACATACCTATCTTGTTGTTTACACTGCCATCTCAAGTAGGTTGAATCTGGAAAGAAGCCAAGCATACTATTCAAAACACATCCTAACATCAACAAAGAATTGTTCTCCAATGAAAGTATTTTAGGGCTCAAAGATCCTAATAGGCCTTTTCCTACTGGCCAATCTGTGGATGGCGTTGGCCTTTTGAAATGGAGGATGCAGAGTTTGGATGAGTCAGCTATCCCATTAACAAGTGAGTTTACTTTTGCAATGTCTCTCTCATAAATTATCAACACTATACTTATACACATGTATCCTTTGTAGTCAGTTGTTGGCCTAGTGTCTCTGGGAATGTAACTGATGTTAGCATCGAGTATGAAGCATCATCCAACTTTGAGCTTCAAAATGTTATCATATCAGTGCCTCTTCCATCACTCAAAGAGGCCCCAAATGTGAGGCAGATTGATGGTGAATGGAGGTGAGTTGTATTCCTTTTACTGGGAATTTCTTGACATTGCTAAAATCATTTTGTTAATAGGATTTGTTCGACTTTTCAAATGACATTAGTTTAGCCGTTTAGCAGACAACATACATGTATACATTTCTTGTAATAATCACTGTTTTTCTTTGAATTTTATTTCATTTATCTGTTGCATTGCTCCTCTATGCTTCTATCGTGCCTTTATGGACCTTGCACAACTCTTGCATAGCAGACAAAAGCATGTTCATTGACAATCTCTTGATTAATGACAGGTATGACTCCAAGAATTCAGTATTTGAATGGTCCATATTATTAATTCATAACTCTAACCGTAGGTGAGATTCATTCTCTATCAGAGTACCTCACAAACTCACTCTCTTATCTTTTGTCTGACAATAAGCTCTGATCTTCTGCCAGTGGATCAGTGGAGTTTGCTGTTCCTGCTGCAGATTCATCAGCATTTTTCCCTATCTCTGTGCAGTTTTCCACTATGAATACATTCAGTGGATTAAAGGTCTGTTGCACATTTTCTGATGCTTTGTTTTTCCAAACTGACAGAAAACCTTACTATTGTCCCGCTTCCCCTCACAGACAAGGCTGGTGCATGAATGTATGATACATGCAAAACAACCTGTTTATATTGAATTGCATGCTTAACGGTTTGCAATTCAATAACGTGGAAAAGGCATTGAATTGAACCACCGTAATTATTAGAGTGCATTTTATTCACCTGATTTCACTTGTGTGAACTTATCTTCTTGAACATAATTTATTTGAAATTATTTGCACTCAGACTATAATTTATTTGAATTGATTAAACCTTATGTTAGCTGTAAAATTGAATTTAGGTATAGTAATTATTTTTCATGTACTGAACATAACTGAATTTATTATCCTGAACTCAACTTCTCGAGCACTTTTCAAACAAAAGAAAATCCTAAGGCAGAAAGACTGATATTTGTCACAATGCTTGGCCTGTTGGCTAATTGGTTCAACAATCTTGAGCTTCTTAAAGAGTTGAAATCCTAACAGAATTGCTGCTTTTGGCTAATATCGATAACTCATATATTTATGGCATTTAATACTAATCCATTTTATAGTTAGTATGTAAGGATCCGTTTTACCTTACTCTTTCTTGATAATGCCTCACAGGTTGTTAATATTATGCCACTAAAAGGCGGTTCGCCACCCAAATTTGTCCAGAGAGCCATGCTTTGGGCAGAGAATTACACTGTGGTTTGATCAGGCAAGGTAGTCTTACATATATGTGACTTTGCAGCTGTATTTTCGACAGATGCTTATCGTCGGGCTTATTTGCACAATGCTAGCTCTTGGTTTTTACTTCCCTAGCTTGAGCACAAATTTGTTTTTGTTCCTTAAGAATTGCTCGTCGACTGCAACTCTGCAAGTATGACCTTCCATCCTAAAATGACTTTTTTTTGCAGCACAAGTTTTGGAATACAGCAATTGACTTTTGAATTGCAAAAAAAATCCGGTCAATGATATTTCTTCCATAAGTTACAATTACTTGGATTTTTGTTGGAACGTCTAAGTTAAATAACTTGACAATGTAGAAAAAGTTCCCTTTGCGCTGTCTTGGAACTTCTTAAATAGTACTCACACTTTCTATGTCCCTAAATAATAAGCTATAGTAGATTTCTATGTTGGATTATTTTCTTAAAGTATTATGTGTGTTGTAAATTGTTGCTTTATAAGTTTAGTTTAAAAAACTTACAATTAGCTCATGATTTTTTTATTTTTTTTTTGGAACAAAATTAGCTCATGATAACTTGACGTAAGATTACTTCGTAGCCAAAAAAAAAACTTAGGAGAACAAATATATTTCTTTTGTCCCTTAATTATATGTCTATTCTCTCTATTATGTGAGTAATAAATGAAAGAATAAGACATACTTGTATAACTAAAGCAATGAGAGAGTAGTGTTTAAGCCAATTTTTTTAAAAAATGACTCAATAAAAAGTGACCTACTATTAAAATATACTGTATAACCCATATAAATAAGGCATGATAATATTTAACTCCAAGTTCGTACTTCAAGTTGTACCTCGTATTCCAATATATGCTGATGTCTGAAGGTCTTTTTTTAATTCATGAAGTTTTCTCATTTGTCTAAGAATATTTTTTTCTTAATCGTTGTTTAGCTGGTGTCATTAACGCTATACATCGTATTATGTTAACACATGAAATTATTAATGCACCCTAATTGGATGCCTGGTACTTGGTTATGTCATGTGGCCATTCTGGCCAAGATTATTGTTAATGTAGTTTACATTTATAAATTGCTACTTGACTTATAATATACGGTACACACACATTTTTATGTGGCCGGCCACTGTGGGTTTGCTCAATGGTGTTATAGGATGGTGTTATAGGGATACTCGATCAGTGTTACATTAGTTAGTTCGTTAGTGTTGTAGCCTTTTAGGGATTACTTGGTTAGTATTATAGGATCGGGGTTACTCGGTCGATTTTATAGGGGTTACTTTCTTCTTTTACAAATGGTCATATAATACGGCCAGTCGCACACAAGACACGCTGATACTGTACAAGTATTTTAGAAATTTCTTAGAAAAATTATTTAAATTAAAATTAATTAAAACAAAGTTTAAGAAATTTGTAGATAATGCAATTTTGATTGTTACACTTGACAAAAAATGATTTAACTTATTGTATCATACAAATTAGTATACAGATTTGTCCTCATTTATTTTATTGGCTTTCAAAAGCACAAATTCAAACACAATAAATTACAAGAATTAACACAAGAAAAATAACTCAATACTTCAAGATTATCCCTAGCTAATACTTTAGGTTTGGGATTAATAACTATTACGTTTGTGACAGTTCTTCCTTACTTCTCCTTGTTGTCCAGTTAACGCCTTGTAAATACCCAATCGATTCATCGACAACGCGAATGCCCTCCGGAAGTCTTCAAGCCCATAACCAGGGTGAGCAAATTGATCACTAAGTTGTTGAGTTTCATTACCATACAAGAGGTCTTGATCAATTCTAAGCACAGCTTTGTTTGCCATGATGTTTTTGTAGTAGTCATTTGTGAACCTATAGGCTCCATCCGAGCCCTTGTTTAGGGCAATTAGCCCTTCGTGTTCGCCTTTTTGGTACTTTTGTGGACATTGCTTCCTTAAGTCCTCTAGACTTGAAGTGTCTAGGGTTGGATCTGGCTTTCCGGTGCCTTGAAAGTTGTATAGACGATCATAAATGTAACGACATCTTGTCCTCCCGGTCGAATGTGCTCCTATAAATCATAACAAAATATACATGAATTGTTATGCTTATACGAGTAGGATTCAAATTTTAAACCAATATTTTTCGTTATCTGAAAAGTTTTGTCGATTCAGGTATTGTCATTCATTAATGCATGTCTAAGATGTTCCTTGTTAGTACATAAATTACAATATCAATCGAACCATTTATCTAGGAATTTTTAAAATATAATGAGAGTAAAAATAAATAAAGCGTGGGGCGAAATAATGAATTAGTAGATTGAAATCAAAGGGTTTGTTGAAGGTGTTACCTAAGAGTGTTGTGAAATCCTGAATATCAAGGCCTCTAGCTTGGAAATATGCAAATCCTTCTTCCCATGAGATATTTGGTGAAGGGAGGTCCACAGATGAAGCCTTTGAAGTGAACCCATCCTTTCTTCCTGTAAGAATTGGGTAGGATGGAGCACCAGACTGAAATATTTCCAAAAAAAAAAATATTACATATTACAAATGTTATTATTAATATTCTACTACATAAAAAAAAAATTAAAAAATAACGAGGACGATTCAACTAGAGGTGATCAACATCGGTCTGGCACAAAAATAGGGCGGGTTTGTACGAGCTTAAAAACACATTTTTAGTTAAAAACCCAAACTTAGCCCGATAGAAGCCCAATAATCCCATTTTGGCCCTACAAGTCCGCAAGTTTTTTACTGGGTTGGGCACGAGATATGTTATTAAGGCTCGCCTTGATTTTTTAATCAACTAAACAAGTAATTGTGAGATTTCATTTTTTATTAAACAATACAAAGTACTCTTTTTTTTTTCTTTTTTTTTTTTTTGAAGGGAAACAATACAAAGTACTTCCTAGATCTCAACGTTGTTTTAGGTTGTTTCAAAAACATGCATCATTATTTAACATTGTTCTATTACTCTTAATAATTTCCTTAATTTATTATGGAGAATTATGAGATGAAGGGCAATATTTAAATACGAATTACTCCCTATTTCTTTACAATTTAGAAGGAATAATTTTGATTTTTTGAATAAAAAGTGACAATAAATAATGGTGCATAAGAAAATAGAAATTACCAAGTAAGCAGCATCTCTAGTGGCAAGTTGAAGGATATCAGCACAAGAGACAACTCCAGGACATCTTTCCTCAAGGACTTCCTTGATTTTGTCAATGAATGCAAATCCTCCAAGTCCGGTATTTTGTGGTGCCTTTTGCTCCGAGTCTGGTCCGTCTAAGAGAATCGAGGCATCACATCCCTGAATCACATTACAAACAAGTTTTTAAAGAATATGACAATTTTATATAAACAACATTGCCTAATTATATAGTATCGCATACTCTTATGTAGGAATCACTCTAACAATGAGCTGAGAATCGAACCCTATAAAAAAAGACCTCTAACATTAGACCAACCTTGATTCTCATAAATGAAAAGTGTAAAAAGCACGGTATTAAGGTACGATCAGTTCACCACGCTACACTCCTGCTGCTAACGAGGTACTTTCCCAAAAGAAAAACCAAAGCTCATGACTTAAGTTGCTAACAAAAAATCATCAAGGCATCTTTAATTAACACTAATTTATTTTTTTCCAAAATTTAATCACTCAGTTGGATAAAGCTTCCTTTTCGATTCTAGGAGATCTAAGATCGATTCTTATCAACCACCCTTGTGTATTGTAGACTAGATCTAAGCAAAATTGAAAAGAACAATAACCATTAAATTTTTAATAAGCAAATTTTAGGCTTATAATTTTTAGAAATTTTGGCAGATTTGTAAACATGGACTCTTGTGCTACGTTCATCGGGCCCCTAGCTTTTTTCCATACTTATTTGAACGATTGAATTGTGAAAGGTTGCAAATGAACACAACAAAATGTTTTTCAACAACTAATTCATCAAGAAGTACAATGAGAACATAAATTGGTAGATTAAAATAGCCTAGCACAAAAGACCTCCACCTAGGCCGCATTAACATAAACCAGCACGACACAACTCATGCCTAAATAAATTGCACATTCATTGTGCCAAACGAAATGACAACATAACCCTCAACCCTTTGGCACAAAACATGGGCCGGCCACCTAGCGGCGAGCGAGCACGGCTCAATGTCAGCTTTAATAGTAATATACACGTACTAAACCTTTAAGAAAAAGAAAAAGAAAAAGAGAAAAGTTGTTCAAAGGTGAAAAATAACATTACCGTGACCATACAATCTGAGTAGACCAACCGAAGAAGTTTAGGAGTAATGCTCTTATCTTGATCCCAAAACTCTTTCACAAGGTGCTTCACATATGCCTCAGCATGATAACAAGTGTTAGTCTTCTTGTAATAACTTCGGGTCAAGGTGTATCGAGGCACCGTAATCGCCCCTTCGACATCTCCGATCATCAAAAAACCCACCACAAGGGCAAGAAGAGCCACTAGAGGATAGTACAATTGCTTGCCTTCCTCCATTTTACTCTCTTACCCGAAAAAAAGGCTAAAAACTTCTCTTTTGGTGCTCTAACTCTTATAAATTTAGATTTCTTAGCTTAACTGATTTTGAAATTAGTGTTATTGGTAAAGGATTTATATAGAGTATAATATGACAGCTTAGTTGAGTAAATTACACTCCAATTAGTGTAACTATTTAATAGGTTTTGGTATATTTTAATGTTGTACGTAAGTATTTTGCTTCATTTTTCATGCAATATTAGTTGTTAAGCTTGTTTATGCTACAATTTTCCTTGTTTTGCGAAAGTCGGCTTTCTAGCATTGACTAGCTAGCTAGCTAGGCAAGCTTATAAACATTTATATGTACAAAGATTAATTCTCTTTATTATTATAATATTAATTTTTTTTGGATGCAAATCAAAAATATTCTTTAACTTTGTATTATTCTACCCTGGCCATTTGAATAATGCAAAGTTGTTCCTAGCTAGAAACTTCCCTTAAATCTTTCACGTAATTTCATGCAATCATGGATAAAGATAATACAATTTCTTTGTATACTTTGTACTTTGTAGCAAGGTAGTTGAGTGAGTGCAAAAAGAAATTTGATGCTCAATATAAGTTCTTAATTTTAAAATTACCCTTATTTTAGAATTTATGATAAAAATGATAACTTTAATACAAGTTGGCAGTGCTTCTTGTGTGCGGTCGGTCACACCATGTGGCCACTTGTAGAAAAATAAAGTAACTCATATAACACTGACAAAATAACCCCTGTGATACTGACCAAGTAACCCCTATAACACCGACGCAGTAATCCCTGTAAAACTAAAATAGTAGCCCATGTAACACTAATGAAGCTAAGTAACTCTTATGATGGATGATCACATCGTGTGGCCAGACACATATAAGCTATGACTTTG